GCCCGGGGTGGGCCCCGCGAGTCTCCCGCCCCCATTCCCCCCCGTGGGCTGCTTCTGAGAGGCCGCCCGCCCGGAGCCCACTGCTCTGCCGCCACGGGCCCTGGTGCACCCCATCTGAGCCCGAAGGGGAGCCTCACCACCAGCTGCTCAGCACAGACGGGGGGCCAGCACCTGTACCCCATGTGCACCCCGGCACAGAACCCCTACTCTGCACGCGCACATGCATCCCACACGTGGATCATGCACGTGCACCACAGCACACACCCTGCACACACCACACTCACAGACCCGTGTCACTCCCCCCACACACGCCCCAGCACGCATCCCACACCCCGCACCCCTCCCCCCGCCAAACGCAGCCCAGCTGGACTCAGGACTGTGGGGACACAGCCCCCCACAGAACAGCACTCACCAGGAGCAGGGTCACCAGCGGGGTCTGCACCAGCGGGGGGGTGTCCGGGGTCCATCCTCAGGGCGGCGGCTGGCACAGGGAGGCCGCAGGCAGCCTGAGGAAGGTGGGACTAGAGAAGAGGGACAATCAGGCTGGGTCCCACCTGGGGAGGCGGCGGGATCCCGACGCAGGCACACAGGGCCACCTCCCTATCTCAGGGGCAGGGGACCCCGGGTGGACCTGCAGCGAGAACCCACCAGCCCCCGCGGCTCGCCCAGGCTGGACCTGGCACAGGTGGCCACCAGGTTCCCGCGGATGCACAGTTGACGCTGGACGCGCTCCCGCATTTGCGGGGAGCACCCTGTTTTTCCTCCTTTAGCCTGTTTTCTCGAGGCCTTGTAAAGACTTCCTGCTATGCCCTGGTCGGTTTGGCTCAGTGGATAGAGCGTTGGCCTGCGGACTGAAAGGTCCCGGGTTCAATTCTGGCCAAGGGCATGTACCTTGGTTGCGGGCACATCCCCAGTGGGGGTGTGCAGGAGGCAGCTGATCGATGTTTCTCTCTCATCGATGTTTCTGACTCTCTATCCCTCTCCCTTCTTCTCTGTAAAAAAATCAATAAAATACATTTTTAAAAAAATAAATAAAGACTTCCTGCTCACAGGCGGCTGTGGGTATCACAGGACCACACATGGCCGCCTGCAGGTCCAGGCCGGCCTGACCCAGGCATTGGAGACAGCCCACCTGGAGGCCGCTCCAGGGGCTCCTCGGCTGTCTCTGTGGATATTTACGTCCATATTTTTCTCTTTTTTAAATGTTTTTATTGATCTCAGAGAGGAAAGGAGAGGAAGAGAGACATCAGTGAGGAGAGAGGATCACGGATCGGCTGCCTCCTGCACGCCCCCCACTGGGGATCGAGCCTGCGACCCAGGCATGTGCCCTGACTGGGAATTGAACCCTGACCTTCTGGTTCACAGGGCATCACTCAAGCACTGAGCCATACTGGCCGGCACGTCCACATTTCTCAGGAACACACAGCTTGGCCATTTCTTCGGGTTCCTGTCTGACTGGCCAGCTTAGAGGTAAGAGCTCACTGCGGCCCACGCACCGCTGCTCCTGGACGCGGCGGCAGAGCAGTGGGCTCCCGGCACCAGGCACGCGGTGGGCCTGCGAAGACGGCCCTGCAGACCCTGCTCACAGCTGAGCCGCGTGGGGACCGCCCGACGCCTCTTCCCTGCACCGTGGGCTCCAGACTTCCGCTCTGGCCACGTGGAGCGCCGGTGCCGGCCACCCCTCCCAATGCAAACACATCAACCGAAAAACAGAGTTCGGGCATCAAGCAACACGTGGCCCTGCTTCCTGCGAGTGGGGCAGGGCCCGAGGGGGGCCTGGGGTGACCTGCCAGCCACGCCCCCTGACCTGGGCCCGGCGCACTGCGTCCTGCCGCAGAGGAGGTGGCAGGTCTGTGGACAGGCTATCCTCTCCTGTGTCCTCACAGTCCTCCTCTCCTCCTCTCATGAGGTCACCAGTTACAGAGAACCTCATTTTACCCAAATCACCTCTTTAAAAACCCCGTCTCCAGCCCAAGCCGGTGTGGCTCAGTGGGTAGAGCGTCAGCCTGTGGACTGAAGGGTCCCGGGTTCAATTCTGGTCAAGGGCATATGCCCAGGCTGTGGGCTTGATCCCCAGTAGGGGGCATGAAGGAGGCAGCCAATCCATGATTCTCTCATCACTGACGTTTCTATATCTCTCCCTTCCTTTCTAAAATCATTGAAAATATATTTTAAAAATCCTATATAATAAAAGCCTAATACGCTAAGTGTCCAGTCATCTGGTCGTCCATTCAACCAATCAAAGCATAATATGCTAATGATATGCTGAGGCCGCTCAACCGCTTGCTATGATGTGAACTGACCGCCAGGGGGCAGACACTCTGACCAATAGGTTAGCTTGCTGCTGGGGTCCAGCCAATCAGGACTGAGGGAGATGGGCCGGACACGCCCTGGAGCCCTCCCACAGTCCCTCCCTGGCTGGCCAACCTCCCGCGTCCCTCCCTGGCCCCAATCATGCACCAGTGGGGTCCTTTGGCCTGGCCTGTGCTCTCTCGAAACCCGGGCTGAGGACTGCCCCCCTAATGCACTAATTTCGTGCACCAGGCCTCTAGTAAATAAATAAAAGCCCCATCTCCAAATATGGCCACTGGGAGTCAGGGCTTCAACATGAATTTGGGGGTCGACACGGTTCAGCCATAAAAGGGGACCTGGACACCCATGGTTCCTTCTCCCGAAAGTGGCAGCGCTGCCCCATGCTAGCTGTTTGGAGAAGGGTCATAGGCCCTGGGTGGGGGGGAGGGCCAGCAGCCGGGGGCCCCTTCTCTCCGACCCTCTGTGAGAGCAGGAGGGGGCTGCTGGCCACACACAGGGAGAGAACCAAGGCTTGGCCTGTTCCTCCCACTGCACCCCGATTCCCTTTCACTCTCTCCTAGAGACATGCGGTCAGGGCAGCGCCCCATGTGGGCAGTCAAACCGGCTGCTTGCCGCCTGGACAGGTGCACACGCCTTCCCCACACGTTACAGGGCACCAGCCACAGCAGGACCCACACGGAGCCACTGCCCCCCACACGAGCCCCGAGTACCGCACCCCATACAGTCTCCAGGCCAGCCGGACCCCTACCTCCCCATCCCCCTTCCCCAGACCCCCACCCTCCAGGGTCCCGAGTTGGCAGCGGGCGGGAGCTGGGGGCCCATCTGTTGTCCAGGTGCTGCTCACCCCACCATGGCTGCTCTCCATCAGGGTCTCCCATGAGCCCACCTGTCTGTCCATATCCCGCCTGGCCTCTCCTGGGGGACTCGGCACCGCGCTGGGCACGGAGAGGGCAGCCCGACCCCACGGTCCCTAATGGCTGGGCCGCCCCATCTCTGGGGCCCTCTGACCTCACAGGGAGGATGACTTGGACTTGCCAGGGGCCAGGTTTCCATGGGTGTTCACAGGCGACCCAGGCCGCTGGCATGCTGGGCGCAGTCACTTAAAACGGATGCGAGGCCGGCAGGGGGCGCTCAACCCCCATGTCAGTTGCAGACCCAGAGAGGCCACCAGGCAGGTCCCGGGCGGGTCCACCAGCGGGACCCTGGCCAGCAGGACCCTGGCCGGCACCTGGGCCAGCGAGAAACCACCTTCCCGAGCTCTCCCTTCCACACGGACTGTGGCCACCGCCTCCCCAGCCTCCTCCCTTTTCCCAGAGGGAGGTCCATCTGCCGTAGGAGCTCGTCCTGAACTGCCAGCCTGTGCTGCTCCCGCGGGAGCCCTTCTGTGGGCAGGGGGCCTGGCCGCTCCGCTTTCAAGGTCCACGTGGAGGGTCCCGGGAAGAGGGAGCTGCGGCACCAGCTCAGCCCGGGAGCCCGCCGGTGGCTTCGGGACTTTCGGCCCCACCACGGCCTGAGCGAATTCCTGAAGCTCAACGCATCTCGCCCCGGACGGTTTGTTTCCATGGACAGAGCGCTGGACTGCGGACTGGGGGGTCCCGGGTTCGATTCCGGCTAAGGGCACAGGCCTGCGTTGCGGGCTCCACCCCCAGTGGGGGGCGTGCAGGAGGCAGCCAATCGATGATTCTCTCTCATCATTGATGTTTCTCTCTCTCTCCCTTCCTCTCTGAAATCAATAAATATATTTTTAAAAATAATAATAAATAAAAAATAAAAGCGAGGTCTCGCTCCGCGCGGGGCGATCCTGATCCTGGACTGCGGGAAGCGCA